GCTGTCTGGTATGGGGAACTGAACCTTTGAACTTGGTGTTACAGTTCTGCTCTGTAACCAATGGAGCTTACCAGTGAGCCACTTTCTTTGCTTGTTTCTTAAACAGGTTATTTGTTTTGTTGTTGTGTGGCTGTGGAACATTTTTTCATTGTGTATTCTTTTTTTTTTTTTTTTCCTTTTTGTCTTTTTTCGTGACCGGCAATGGATCGCAACCCTCAGTGTTGTGCCCGTACCAGACCGGGACCGGCAATGGGATCGCAACCCTTGGTGTTGCACCTGCACCTTGCTCAGCCAGTGAGCGGCCAGTCTGTATGTGGGATCCGAACCCTCGGAGGGNAAAAAAAAAAAGTAAGTAAAACAAGGGGTTTTTGTCATGATAATACCCAGTACTGGTGAAGGTGCAGTGAAACAGGCACATCCAAAAATACAAATGCCAGGATAACTTTATACAACTTATTTAGAAAACAATTTGGCAACATATTAAAAAAGCAATCATAAATGTTTATACTCTTTGTTTTTTGTTTTGTTTGGGTGGCTGTCCATTACTCTGGATCCAATAAAGTCAATTCTGGGAGTTTATCTTAAAAAATGCAACCATTTTATATTGCTTATAAAAGGAAGATCGAAATGGCCAACAATAAGATTGGTTTTAAAAATTCAACCTACATTGTTTAATATAATGGCTTAAAAGTCTCTGTAGCCACACGAGAAAATGGCAATAATACACAATTTATATTAAACAGTTAATAAACAGTTAATATTTTCCTAAAAAGAAAACTATAAAATTGTATATACACTGTTATTTACTGCAACTATGTTTTAAAGAAGATGATTCATAAGAGAAAAAACTGTAAAGAAATACACCAAAACATAAAAATTGTTTTATTGGGGAGTGAATTCTTTCTACTTTCACTTCACAGAAGAATACATGGTGACTGTACTCTGGTGTGGTCTGTATTAGTGCACTCTGGGAGGCTGCAATTGCAGAAATATGTGACACCTTTACAGGAAAATTTAGTGAAGTGAATCTTTGCTTTGACTAAGTAATTTTACCAAAAAGATTTTAAAATAATAGTA